TCAGTCCTGCCGGCACAGGGGTTTAACCCACTGCGCCACCGGGGGCTCTCAAAAGAAAATAATGATGATGATGATGATGATGATGATGATATGATGATTTAAAAATAGAACTGCAAAGACTCTGGCACAAGCCAGTAAAAGTGGTCCCAGTGGTGACTGGCACACTGGTGCAGTGCCTAAAGACCTTGGCCTGCACTTAAAAACACTCAGTGCTGACAAAATCATCATCTGTCAGCAGCAAAAGGCTACCCTACTAGGATCTGCACGCATTATTCTCCAATACATCACACAGTCTTAGACACTTGGGAAGTTTCTGACGTGTGATCAAATACAAAAGCCAGAATAGTGATCTTGTTTGTTGTGTACTAACCTTGTTATGTATCAAATAATAATAATAGTAATAATAATAATCTATATAAATAAAAATGTAATGCTCTGAGAGCTCCTGCCTTTGCTGTGGAGTTCCCCAGGGTGCTATCCTCTCGCCCCTGTTATTTAACATCTACGTCCGGCCACTTGCTGGACTGGTGCGGAGCTTTGGCATAGAGTGCTACCAGTATGCAGATGATACCCAGCTACTCTTGAGTCTCGAACCTGGGACAACCGTGATTCCTGAGAACTTGAAGCTGTGTTTGGAAGGAGTGATGAGTTGGCTACGAGCAAGCAGACTAAAAGTCAATCCTGCAAAAACTGAGATACACTGGCCCAGCCAGCCGCCAGAATTAACCCAGTCTCTGCCTGATTTCGATGGGGAAGCTCTGGTTCCGTCTGCCACTGTTAAAAGCCTTGGGGTTGTGTTGGACTCATTGCTGACGATGGAGGCCCAGATCACTGCCATAAGTAAGCAGGCCTTTTCTCATCTTCGCCAGGCAAGGAAATTGGCATCCTACCTTTCGGTAGAAGCATTGCCAACAGTAATCCACGCAACAGTCACCACGAGGTTGGACTATTGCAATGCCTTATATGCCGGCCTTCTGAAGTCAACAACCCAGAAGATTCGGATGGTCCAAAATGCGGCAGCCAGGCTGCTAGCGGGATCATCTATAAGATCCCATATTACACCGATTCTTCAACAACTGCATTGGCTACCAATAGAACATCGGATCTCTTACAAGAGATGTCTAAATCCTGACATTTAGAGCTCAAAATGGCCAAGGACCTTTATATCCTAGGGACCGTCTCATTCCTTTTCTCCATCAGTGGTCACCTCGATCCACCCAGGTAAATCTCCTCTACATACCGGGTCCTAGGGAGGCACACCTGGAAGCTACAAGGCGTAGAGCTTTTTCGATCTATGCTCCAATTCTGTGGAACTCATTGCCTCCATATATTAGAGCAATGTCGGAGTTGCGACCTTTTGCAAAGGCGCTCAAGACTTGGCTGTTTGGTTGCGCATTTAAGTAATCGGATCAAATTTTGCCATAGTCACTGCTGAATGTTTTTATGTTGAATGTTTTTATGTTGAATGTTTTTATGATGAATGTTTTTGTATTGAATGTTTTATATTGTGTATAAGCTATTTTAAATTGTAAGTCGCTCAGAGCACTTTGGTGGAGAGCGACTAATTAAGAAATAAAGTGATGATGATATTCACAGAACTCAAAAACCACTGGGGGAATTGACACCAAATTTGGACACAAGACACCTAACAACCCAATGTATGTCCTTCACTCACAAAAATTGCTTTTGTAACTCGGGAGTTGTAGTTGCTGGGATTTATAGTTCATCTACAATCAAAGAGCATTCTGAACCCCACCAATGATGGAATTGAACCAAACTTGGCACACAGTTCTCCCATGGCCAACAGAAAATACCGGAAGGGTTTGGTGGGCAGTGTCCTTTGGTTTTGGAGTTGTAGTTCACCTACATCCAGAGATCAGTGGACTCAAACAATGATGGATCTGGACCAAACTCTACACGAATACTCAATATGCCCAAATATGAACACTGGTAGAGTTTGGGGAAAATAGAAGCTTGACATTTGGGAGTTGTAGTTGTAGTTGCTGGGATTTATAGTTCACCTACAACCACAGAGCATTCTGAACCCCACCAACGATAGAATTGGGCCAAACCTCCCATACAGAACCCCCATGTGGGCCACAGCAACGCGTGGTAGGGGACGGCTAGTAATAATGAAAAAGGAAATGGAGGGCCTGATTCTGGCTGCCCAAGAACAAGCCATTAGAACAAATGCCATCAGAGTCAGAATTGAAAAGTCAACAACAGATCCCAAAGGAAGCAGATGAAACAATTGATCATATCCTCAGCTGTTGTAAGAAGATTGTGCAGACAGACTATAAGCAGAGACATAACACCGTTGCTCAGATGGTTCATTGAAACTTGTGCCACAAATACCATCTTCCTGCGACAAAGAACTAGTGGGATCAAGCCTGAAAAAGTTACAGAAAATGAACACGTCAACCTACTCTGGGACTTCAGGATTCAGACTGACAGAGTTTTGGAGCACAATACTCCTGACCTCACAATCGTGGTTTTTTTTAATCGTGTAAGGAGCAACTTGAGAAACTGCAAGTCGCTTCTGGTATGAGATAATTGGCCGTCTGCAAGGACGTTGCCCAGGAGACGTCCGGATGATTTGATGTTTTTATCATCCTTGTGGTAGGCTTCTCTCATGTCCCCGCATGAGGAGCTAGAGCTGATAGAGGGAGCTCATCCGCCTCTCCCCGGATTCGAACCTGCAACCTGACGGTCTTCAGTCCTGCCGGCACAGGGGTTTAACCCATTGCGCCACCGGGGGCTCCAATCATGTTAAAAAACAAGAGTGTGGATAGTCGATGTTGCAATCCTGGGCGACAGCAGGATTGAAGAGAAACAACTGGAAAAGCTGACACGATATGAGGATTTAAAGATCGAACTGCAAAGACTCTGGCACAAACCGGTAAGGGTGGTCCCAGTGGTAATCAGCACACTGGGTGCAGTGCCTAAAGACCTTGGCCTGCACTTAAACATAATCAGCACTGACAAGATTACCATCTGCCAGTTGCAAAAGGCGACCCTACTGGGATCTGTACACATTATTTGCCGATACATCACACAGTCCTAGACACGTGTGATCCAATACAACAGCCAGCAGAACGATCTTGTTTGCTATGTACTAATCTTGTTATATATCAAATAATAATAATAATAATAATAATAATAATAATAACAATAACAACTTTATTTTTGTAGCCTACCTCCATCTCCCCAAAGGGACTGAGGCCAACTTACACATGGAACAAGGTGTCCACAAAACATCAGAGCAAAATAGTCCATTAAAAACAAAAAAATACAATTAAAATAAAACATAGCTAAGCATAACAAGCAGGTAAAACACCACCAAATAAAACATAAGGGTATAAAACAACAGCCTTAAAACTCACTCAAACAATCCACAAACAAACAAACACACACACAATTACCAGAAGTACTAAGATGGGCATGCTCATCAGGCTATGAAAAGGACCAGGTATGGGATCGTTCAAAACAGCGTAGTATAGGACCAGGGAATTGGAAGAAGTGCAGAGAAATCTGGCAGGCTTTTTCTTCATGCCAGGAGTGACTTGAGAAACTGCAAGTCACTTCTGGTGTGAGAGAATTGGCTGTCTGCAAGGATGTTGCCCAGGGAGCACACATTGAGATTTTCTTTATACTGTGGTATGGCATCGGGATGATAACTAATTTTGCATTTAATATGTCTTTGGGTTGGAAGGTGGAAAATCAATCTTCCATTTTCTTTGAGTCCCCCCAGGGGTGAGAAAAGCGGTATATAAATACTGTAAATAAATACATAAATAAATTTTTATTTTTATTTTTTTGAGGATGAAGGGGGAATGTTCATTAAAGGGTAATTTAAATATATATAAATAAGATTAGATGTAAACTATATATGAAAAGTGATACTATGTTATATAAACTTATACTTGCAAGAAACAACTCTAAAAATGAGGTCGTTATGCAAAAATTATTTTCACTGCATACTACGGTATTGTAGTAGGTAGATTATACAGTGTGGAAGGGTCCCGTGTTTTCCTTGATGAAACTTGTAGAAGTTACTTTTGATGACAGCACTCCCCCAAATTCCCAGTCAAACATATTCATTGGTTGTGTTGGCTGAGGGATTTGGGGACATGTAGTCCAAAAGTAAATTTTCCAAACTCAAGTTCCCTCCACATAGACAATGCAAAGAAAACACCGAGGGCCCTTCTACACTGCTATATAACATCAAGATTATCTGCTTTGAACTGGATTATGTGGCAGTGTAGAGTCATATAATCCAGTTCAAAGCAATTAATGTGGATTATCTGATTCAACAATCTGTATTATATTGCAGTGTAGACTCATATAAACCAGTTCAAAGCAGATAATGTGGATTATCTGATTTGACAATCTGTATTATATTGCAGTGTAGACTCATATAAACCAATTCAAAGTGATAATGTGGATTATCTGATTTAACAGTCTGTATTATATTGCAGTGTAGATTCATATAAACCAGTTCAAAGCAGATAATGTGGATTATCTGATTTGACAATCTGTATTATATTGCAGTGTAGACTCATATAAACCAATTCAAAGTGATAATGTGGATTATCTGATTTGACAATCTGTATTATATTGCAGTGTAGACTCATATAAACCAATTCAAAGCAGACAGTGTGGATTATCTGATTTGACAATCTGTATTATATTGCAGTGTAGACTCATATAAACCAATTCAAAGCAGATAATATGTTTATCTGATTTGACAATCTGGATTATATGGCAGTGTAGACTCATATAACCCAGTTCAAAGCAGATAATGTGGATTATCTGATTTGACGATCTGTATTATATTGCAGTGTAGACTCATATAAACCAATTCAAAGCAGATAGTGTGAATTATCTAATTTGATAATCTGGATTATATGGCAGTGTAGAAGGGGCCTGAGTGAACATCAATAATAATTCTTAAAAAAAACAAACCAAACACTTGTGCTAAAACAAAATAGATGTCTTACCTTTGCAAGAAGCAATCCCCAAATTTTAAGATCTTCAGAGGTGCATTTTCTATTGATGGGGTTTGTGGAGTGACGAGAACCTCCCAGCAAACACTGGCATCGACTTTTCTTGCCACACATGTATGAAACCAGAGCCAGGAAGTGACAGTCAGTTGTGGCGTGAGCTCACATTTTAAACAAAGGAAAAAAGAAGGGGGAAAAATTCAGACAACCAGCTCAATTGTTTTGTCACTGCCCATTTAGCAGCCTTTGAGAAAATAATAACAATCATGGACTTTCCTTGCAAGTCAGCAGTACAGACATTGCAGCATAGAAGGCTCTCGTGTAGAGTTCCAGACAGACACAGATTCACTTTTCTAGTTCTCAATTCTGCCCCTGCACTGAGTTTTCCATCATGCCACAAGAGTTAGTTGCCTTTCCGTACACATTGGATACACTCATTTTACTGTTTCTTCCTCTGGAAGGGCCCACCCCACTGACTGTGTTTTAAAACATTTGTTGTACTTTTGCAAATCCTGGGGCTTCCCCTGAATTAAATGACAAGTTCTTGCCACTGCTCTTTTATTATTATGGCCCCATATAATGCTAAACTCTTATGTCCTGGACCCAATGTTATCCAACATCTTGACCAAGGGCTTTGAGGACAAAATAGGAGGCATGCTTTACCAAATTTGGAGAGGACACCAAATAGTGAGGAAGAGCTAATACTCCAGAGGACAAGATTGGAATCCAAAATGACCATAACAGATTAGAGAACTCGGCCAAAGCTAATAAATTGCATTTCAAGAGGGAGAAATGTAGGGTACTTAGTGTCTTAGTGAACCACAGACAAGCATCTTGAGCTCTGAAGATGACCTAGGAAGGAATCCTACTGGAGCATTGCAGCACACCAAAATACCCAGGAGTTACTCTGGACCGTGCTCTGACTTATAAGAAGCACTCCCTGAATAGCAAGCAAAAAGTGGGTGCTAGAAATAATATCATACAAAAGTTGACTGGCACAACCTGGATATCACAACCAGATACACCTCTAGATTGGACTACTGTAATGCGCTCTACGTGGGGCTGCCCTTGAAAACGGCTCGGAAATTTCAGCTAGTCCAGCGGGCGGCGGCCAGGATGTTAACTGGTGCTCCTTACAGAGAGAGGTCAACCCTCCTGTTCAAGGAGCTTCATTGGCTGCCGTTCATTTTCCGGTCCCAATTCAAGGTGCAGGTACTCACCTACAAAGCCCTAAACGGTTTGGGACCTGCCTACCTGCGTGACCGCATCTCCGTTTACGAACCCGCACGATCCCTCCGATCATCTGGAGAGGCCCTGCTCACAATCCCACCTGTGTCGCAGGCGCGTTTAGTGGGGACGAGGGACAGGGCCTTCTCTGTAGTGGCCCCCCCGATTCTGGAACTCTCTCCCTAAGGACATCAGACAGGCCCCAACGTTGGCTGTCTTTAGGAAGAGCCTGAAGACCTGGCTGTTCCAGTGTGCCTTCCCAGAATAGGAAACTCCTGTCTTCAAGTCCCAAACGCACTTTGTTAGAGATTCAGGATTATCTGCACATTGCACCTACCGCCAAATACCTCTATATATTACCTGTCAGGTTCAGCACTTTTAATTTTTGTCCATTACATTTGGCCCGGCTCCTAGGTTTTTAATTGCGTAACGGTGTCATTGTTTTACTGTTCTATTGTTTTGCTTGATGTTTTATTATTTGCTTATGAGTTTTACTGTGTATTGTATGTTGTTGTTGTCAGTGGCCTCGGCCTTTGTAAACCGCATCGAGTCCTTCGGGAGATTTTGCGGGGTATAAATAAAGTTAATAATAATAATAATAATAATAATAATAATAATAATAATACAGTGAAGACATCTGCCCTTGAGTTTGCTACTCTGCTGCTAAGTACGCATGCCAAGAGTAGAACACATATCACCGCATTAAAGCAGTGGATGTCGCTCTTAATGAGACATGCCTTATTATGACAGGATGTTTATGCCCATCACCACTGGAGAAATTATACTGTTTAGACAGTATCCCACCACCTGACATCCATTGAGAAGTAGCAGCCAATAATGAAAGGACCAAGGCAGTGACATCTCCGGCCCATTTTCTGTTCGGATATCAGCCAGCAAGCCAATGCGCTTAAATCAAGAAATAGTTTTCTAAGATCTACAGGAATACCTCAGCAAGCAAGAGTCCAAAAGTGGCAGGCAAAACCCTAGAAGCTCAATCAGAGGCTGATACCAAATGAGAGATTTCCTCCTGGGCACACAGAAGACTGGGTGGTTTGGAAGACGCTGAACAGACTGCAGTCTGGCACTACGTAATGCAGAACCAACCTTAAGAAATGGGGCCACAAAGTGGAGTCCACGACATGCGAGTGCGGAGAAGAGCAAACCATAGACCACCTACTACAGTGCAACCTGAGCCCTGCCACATGCACAATGGAGGACCTTCTCACAGCGACACCAGAGTCTCTCCAAGTGGCCAGCTTCTAGTCAAAGGAAATTTAGTATAATACCAAGTTTTTAATTTTGTTTGTGTTTATTTAAAATATATATTATAACTGTATTCTCAATTTTCTTCTGACAGGATAAATAAGTGAATCACAAGCTGAACATGAGCCAATAATGTCATGCAGCAGCTTAAAAAGCCAATGCGATTGTAGGCTGCAACAATAGGAGTACAGTGTAAAAAGAAATGGAAGTCATAGTCCCACTCTATTCTGCTTTGATTAGACCTCACCTAGAATACTGCGTCTAGTTCTGGATAGCACAAATCAATAGGGACAGGTAGGACTTTTTCTGTGACTGCCTCCAGGCTATGGATTCCCCACTCTAAGAAGCTAGAAGGATCCCATCCTTTTCTCTCTATATTATCAGGCAAATATCTTTTTTATTCCTAGAGGGCTTTGAATACAGTACAACCCTGTATCCATGAGGGCTACGTTCCCAGAGTTTGTGTGGATAAGCAAAACAGCCGACAACAGCAAACCCAATTGAAACGAAGGACTTCTGGTGCAAGAATATCAAGAGCCACCCCGGAAAAACCTAGCAACCAGTATCATGGAAACAGGTACAATGTAGTTTTTGTTTTTAAAACCATATTTGCTCTCTTTCCGATCAAGAATAAAAAAAAACACCATATTGATAACCAAGGGCCAAAAGATTGTGTTACATGTGGTGTTATTATTATTCCTATCATTATTATTTTGATAAACCACACAAAAAGGGTTTTTTTAAAACAAGTACACATCAAAAGTTCTTAATCATGACAATGATAACAAGTTCTTAGTAATGGTCTAAACCTCTGCCTAAATATTTATGGGAATGATGTTTGTCCTTATGGAGGCTGTGTGTGTACTCACTGGGGCTTACTTTTGGAGTTGCTGCTTTCTCCTTTCTGTTTCCTCCTCTTCTTTCTCTTTCTGCTCATTGATTAAGACCAGCCCTCCCAAACAACCACAAAAGGGAGAGGCAGACTCTCAAAGAGGAAGAGAAAACTGAAAAAGAAAGGAAAGCAGGTGAAGTCAGAAGGAACTGAGAGAAGTGTTGAGGGAGGGAGGAGGTCTGAGAAAAGACCAGAAGCCAAAACATAAGGTCTCCCATCCCCTTTCATTCTGGAGTATATCATTCTACACTGTACAATTATTGCAGTTTGATACTACATTAAATGCCATGGCTCAATGCTATTTATTTTTTCTGTCAGGAGTGACTTGAGAAACTGCAAGTCGCTTCTGGTGTGAGAGAATTGGCCGCCTGCAAGGAAGTTGCCCAGGGGACGCCTGGATGTTTTGATGCTTTACCATCCTTGTGGGAGGCTTCTCTCATGTCCCCACATGAGGAGCTGGAGCTGACAGAGGGAGCTCATCTGCGCTCTCTCCAGATTCAAACCTCCATCCTGTCGGTCTTCAGTCCTGTCCACGCAAGGGTTCAACGCACTGCGACACCAGGGGCTCCTGCTCAATGCTATGAAATCATGGGAGATGTTTACAAGGTCTTTAGTCTTGTCTGCCAAAGAGGGTTAGGTGCCTCACCAAACTACAAATCCCAGGATTCAATAACATTGAACCATGGCTGTTAAAGTGGTATCAAATTGCATTAGTTCTACAGTGTGGACCAGGCACAGGTAAACTTGGGCCCTCCAGGTGTTTTGGACTTCATCTCCCATAATTCCTAACTGTTGGCTGTTAGGAATTGTGGGGGTTGAAGTCCCGAACACCTGGAGGGCCCAGGTTTGCCCATGTCTGGTGTAGGCGCACCCCATTATAAATGTTTGATGTTTCTTTAGCTCCCATGGTTGCCTCCTAGGGCATCCTGGAATTTGTAGTGAGGGGACTTCGATTCCTCTGCTAGTAGTGCAGTGCCACGAAAAGTGGTCATTCCCTGGAAAGAAAGTTTCCAGCGAGAAACAGTTGTACTGAATGGGTACAAATACTGTATAGTGCAGTGGTTCTCAATCTGTGGGTCCCCAGATGTTTTGGCCTTCAACTCCCAGAAATTCTAACAGCTGGTAAACTGGCTGGGATTTTTGGGAGTTGTAGGCCAAAACACCTGGGGACCCACAGGTTGAGAACCACTGGTATAGCGCCAGTCCCTGAAAAAGTGGAGGAAAACATCATTGTTAATACTCCACATCAAATACCTGCTCTTGGTAGGGGGTTGGACTGGATGGCCCATGAGGTCTTTTCCAATTCTATGATTCTAGGGAGTAATTGCTTTCATGTGCTCCTCTGCATTTTAGCATAGACCAGTGGTTCTCAACCTTCCTAATGCTGCAACCCCTTAATACAGTTCCTCATGTTGTGGTGACCCCCCACCATAACATTATTTTCATTACTACTTCATAACTGTAATTTTGCTACTGTTATCAATTGTAATGTAAATATCTGATATACACAATGTATTTTCATTCACTGGACCAAATTTGGCACAAATATTCGATACATTGAAATTTGAATACTGGTGGGGTAGCGGAGAGGGATTGATTTTTTTCATTTGGGAGTTGTAGTTGCTGGGATTTATAGTTCACCTACGAGGGTTGAATGAAAAGTAATGCCTCCACCTTAGTTACTTGGGTTTGGATGGGAATGTTTTAATAAAGCAAACGCAGGAATAATCCTTAGAATGTGTTCTTTAACTACCACTATTCAGTTTTCGACATAACCACCAGACAATTGGATACAT